TGACATTAGTTCAAAACCAAAATATTAAACTGCTTTCCCCAAAAAATCAAAACATTCATCCATTGCTTTTCAAAAATTATTTATTTAATGAAATTAAAGGGTTTTGGAAGACCAGAGCTTTGAACCCTGAAGTAGTAACCTTTCTCAAGGTGCCTGGTATTTTGTGGAACTTTTCTAATACCACCTTTGATTATATTCTTGTTGACTTAGGCAATTGGATATAGTATTAATGAGTGAAAACTCAGTAGACCAGCAAGTCATTTTTGGATATTATATTCAGGTGCTTCCAATCCTCTATTTCTTGCTGGGAATGGTGCCAAAAATGGCAACAGATAACACTCGGAAAAGACATTTTCTGTGTTAGACTTTTTTCTCTTTAAGCAAGTGACAGTTTAATACAAGATGACACATGTAATATATTTTACAAAACTGAAAAGATAAAATTGCTTGTAAATTCTTCATTATCTATGATGAAGGAAATGACAAGTAATTTACTATTATTTTATAAACATGTATTGATTAAAACTAACTTTTTTAAACTCATGCATTAAAGTAAAAATATATAATTTTACACATTTTATTTGCTCCAAGAAAGCCATAAATCATTTCAATTCCTTACAAAGTTATTCAGGTATTTGCTTATTATTATGACAATCCGTATACTCTTTACTTTCTTTTCTTAAACCATGAACAGCTATGAAACACAATTACTTTTGTTTTGTTTTGTTTTGTTTCCCCCCCTCCTTTTTTTTTGTTAATGTGCCATCATTGTTAATCTGCTAAAAATCCATTTCTTCTTCATCTTTGTCAAGGCTGAAAACTATTGAGAACGTAAAAGAAAATGTAGTGAGTTGATGGCACCATATGTCAATCACAGAATCCTAGAATAATTATAGAATGGTTTGATTTGGAAGGGACCTCTAAACATTCCAACTCACTCAGACATGGATAGGAATAAGTTCCACTAGATCAAGTGGCTCAAAGCCTGGCCTTGAAAACTCCCAGAGTGGAACACAACCACTTCCCACAACATTCACAATCCAGACTAATACAATCTCTCCCACAGTGGTCAAAAGTTCATGTACACACAGTAATAATAGAACAGAGCAAGCATAAGGGCACCGAATATATACTGGTTTCACTATCCACACCTATTCTCACAGACTTACACCATTTCAAGATCACAAATGATTAGTGTGAGATGTTAATCCTGTGTTTTCTTTTTTTTTTTTTTGTGAACTTTCCAGTTTGGCCTTGTGCACATGAAAACTTTCAGTAGTTGAAATATCCTTGGTGAGGATTTTGATAACTTATTTCTTCTTATTATTTTACTTGGCATGGAGAATTATCTTTTTTTTTTTTTTAATTAATTAATTTATTTATTTATTTATTATTTATTTTTATTTTTATTTTTATTTTATTATTACACTCTTTTCTGAAGATACTTCTCATATTTTCAGTTAATGTCTCAATGAACCTCCACAGGCTTCTTATGATTTTGTTTTATGGACTTCTACTACATCTTTCAGTAGTCACCTTATTTCCTGAACTAAAGAATCCTTGCTTACACAGTCATTATTTCCACAAATACAGTTCAGAATCTCTGAATACCTTTTTTACTTCTCTGTATTTTTCTCAATCTCCGTACTTTTTGGAGATGGGCAATTAGAACTTTACACGTTACTTTTATTGTCTTTCCCTGCAAATCCAGGGATTTACACAGCAGTATGCTGACAATTTCAGGTTTGTTCTCTAGTATTTTCCTAGTAAGCCTCAAGATTAATTTTTTATGTTATTTTTGCTATACTTTTATCATCTTCTACTTTATCAAAAGTTATTCATTACCATAACATCCTTCTAAAAAGTCTTATAGTAGTCCTTTGTCCTTATTATTCCAAATTCCAATATCAGCAAAACGTCATATCACCATTCATCCTTTATTAAAAAAAAAAAAAAAAAAAAAAAGTTATAAATATTTTGAACATTTTAGCTTGGCACAGTACTCACAAGAAGAATCCCATTGCCAGCCTCATCCATTGGGAGATATGGTTGTTTATTCCTATCCAATGTTCTCTACTTTTATATAATTATTTACCCACATGAAGTCCTTCTCTTTTATTCAATAACCATTAATTTCTCTGACAGTTTTTTTAATGTTTGTTTGGCCCAGGCTCTCAATATGAAAGAATCCATACTGAAAAGACAATAAAAGGTAATATTTTTCCCGAAATAGTAATAATTATTTGATTTTTACTCTATAAGGAAAATACTTTAGTTTTCCTGGGAAGGACTCATGAAAAAAAAGAGTTGTGATAACATTCACGCTGCCCTCAGATGAAGACTATATGAATACAAATTGTTGTTTGAGAAAGCTCTAAACTGTGATCCAGAGTTTTAGACAAACACACATTTCCTTAAAAAGAATTATAGAAGAAATGGCTTCTTTTCAGGTCTTCTGTCAACATTTCTGTATCCATTGTGAAGAAAAGTCTTCTTACCTTTAAGTAGAAGTACTGATTTACCACTCCTCCTACCTTTACAGTCAATGCCAAGTATTGGCTTATTCACAATATTTAAGTTCTGTATATTATTAGAAATATATTTGTCTATTACTTTGATTCAATTATATATTATATTACTTTAAATTGTTAGATATTATCTTATATGCATACGGTTTGTAACTCACATGGTTTCTGATCATTTACACATTTATGTCATGGTTCCACTTAAAAAGAATTTGATGAGAGGCAACTGAATACCAGATCAATGACTTCATAAGGCAAATACCAAATACCTCAATACCAGTCATGACCTCAGAAGGCAAAAATGCAACTCATACGGGCCCACTTCAAATTCATTCTGAAGATAAAGGAAAAGGAAAACAAGAAAGATGACAGCACAATATGTCCTGACATTCTTGATGGCAAATCAAGTATCATTTGTACCCTTCAGCAGATATAAATTCATCTTTAAGAAAGCAGTTACTTATACTAAATCCTTTTATTATTATTATTATTATGAACTCAGAAGAAATGCAAGTGTACAGTCACACTTGGATCATATTAACTGTGTTTTCACGTGTGATCTAGTAATGCATAAATCTTGCACGATGGGCAATGCAACCACTGCCTAACTTATAGAGTACTTCATTCCAAAAGAAGTCTTCTTGATTTCAGTGTGGTTGTGATTAGATTAAGCCAATGATTGAGTACTCATTTATATTTCATTTTTGATTGCAACATGAGGAGGACTTGCCTGAAAATCTTAGGAAATGGCTTATTTTATCATGATAGCTGCAGAAGTGATGATTGTCACCCAATGCATTGTACCCTGCTCTCCAAAGCAGAATGGTATAGCTACTCCTTACAACATAAAATGGAGAATAGTCATGAATCTAATCCTTCATCAAAGCAATATTTTTCCCCTATTTTCCATTTCACTGGTCTTGATGATATCCACACTGAGTCATACACTGAAGTATCACAAGAGGTGAGTAATTAAAGCTTTGCTGAGCATTGAAAGATTCTCTACAGTGGAAACAAGATGTCTTTGCACTTTTATAATGGCTGAAATGCATCATTCATTAAAGGGTATAGCTTTCATTTAGAAATGACAGCTTTGAACAGAGATTTCAGCTGCTGCTGCATTTTAGTAGAGCTTTGTATGTGATTCATGTAAACAGGAAAATGTGAATACACTTACTTATGTATATATATGTGTGTGTGTATTGCAGATGATTCTGATTCAGGCTTTCCTCACCCCCCACCCCCCAGGTTGATGCTGTAACTTAACTTTTCTGAAACAATGACAAGATCAGTTATAATTTGTTGCATAACAACTTTTCCTGCAACTACCTTTTTAAATAATTTGTTAAGTGTTAAGAATGATCTGAAGTGGGTGAATAAAACCTCAGGGTAAGCATTTGTGAAAGGACAACCATTTTTGCGGTTTTAGTGTCTAATCTATGCCATTGAATGAAATCTGATCATATAAGTCAATAAAAGACATCTGTGAGTCCTGAGCTGTAAAGCAGAAAACAAGGAAAAACAATGAAAGCAAAATTTGAAAGAACAGATCTACAAATTAATAAGTTTCTTGCAACTTTCTGAATGTCTATCATCTCACCATTAGTTTGTGTCTGTCCTTTTTGCTTCTTGTACAAACTTCCTAGACTATAAACTTTAATTTATGAGCAATTAACATTGTTACTGGTGTAAGAAACATTATACCTACTTAGAAAGTAGTTGTAGAAGGTTAGAAGCATGTACCTAACTCTTACTTCTGTCCTGGTGAATACTATATTTATAAAAATTAAGCCCTAAATGGGCTGAATTGTCTAGATTCAGCAATGCCCATAAATCTCCAAATTGTCAGAAAAGGAAATGAAGATGAGAACAAGATCTGCTGCCACATTTTATTATCTTAAGTACAAGGAAAAATAAGAAAACACACAGAAGAGAAATAAGACTTTCCAAGTGGGGAACAAAATAACTGAAAAAGGATTCGTGGAATCATACATGGTTGTTTTTAACAGGAAATACATTTTCATTTTGAGAAAATTCCCATTTCTTTTTTCTATATACAGGCCAGTAAACAATTTCAGAATGTATTTAAAGCAATAAAACTGCACACTGTCCCTGATGTAAATGTGTATTGGGTCTGGCTGTTCTTGACCTAGTCTTTATGTGTTGTAAACCAGCATATACTCAGCTTATTTACTGCATTTTCATGATTATATACCTTATGCAAACATGCAACTGCATTTTTAAAATTTTCACCACAGTACAACAGCGTGCAAAAGCTGTTGAACAGGTATATCAGTTAGGCTGCTATATGTAATAATCTTTATTCCATTTGAGAGGGAAATTGTATTTCGGTCCTTGACAAAACTGTGTGAAGATTCAGAAAAGGCAAGGAGCAAAAAAATGGAAGGTAAAAGCTGCAACCCTTAACAAACAGAATGTGCATATGCCTTCACCTCACCTACCTTTTGCCTACAGAAAGTGCCTGACCCCAACTGCTAAACTGAACTGAATGAATACAGACAACCTGAGAAGAGAGAACCCCCATGAATTCAGGAGCAATTACTCAGCTCAGCTGAAAACATCAATAGCACATGTTAGAATGGAATCCTGGAGCCATGGATAATAGAAAATATGCACCCTTCGGCTGAGCGCTGAACTGAAGATCTGTTGGGAGATTTCCACTGTTCTATGGCTGGGGCTGTTGTCAGCTTTTCACTGGAAAGGCTGCACCTGAATAAAAGAAACTATTTTAAAGGGTTAGTCAAAGTTGATTTTAGCAAGTACTTTTCTGACACCCTGCCAATGATTTGACTTTTTTTTTTTTTTTTTTTTTTTTTTTTTTTTAATAAATTATGCTCCACCTTATGCCAGGTATAACTGGAGTGTTTGAAAAGATTATTTCTGGAAGTGGTAGCTTCCTTCTGAGACGGCATTTTCCCAGGAGAATTAAAGTGAATAAAGATTCTTCATTACATTGATTGATATGGAGTGAAAATCTGCAACTGACATCCAAGGTTGAGGAGAATTATGGCTCCGATTAATTACCAGAACAGATCTGTGACCTTCAGATCCATACTAGACCAAAGGCATATTCAAAATGAGTCTTGATCAAATGTTCTTATTATGTTGGAGTTCCATATTTCATAAAAATGCTAATTTACCAAATTTTAGAATAGCTCAATGAACTCTCCTAATGAAGTCTCGCTCTCAAAGAACATCTCAAACCATTTAGTTTTTTACTAATAACACAAACATGGTCACTTACTGAAAGATAGTTCTGGTATGCTTCTATATACAATGACAAAATTTAAAGGAAGAAAAATTAACATTGCTTTATTTATGAGAGGTCATGATCAACGATCTATTGCATTTCTTTTAGCATTTTCAATGGTAGAATACAATCCATGTAAGTACTATGTGATCTTTGCAGTGTCTGTTTGTTTTTTCATCTTTTGCTCTATGCAGTCTCACACGTAATATTTCACACGTCTGAGATTCTGCATGTGGACATTTTTGTCCCTTCTTAAAATATGCTTCACCCATGAAGCACGACATAAATGTCTTGCCAAAACAGCCGCTCATTTCTTTCTCCATCTGCTGCAACTTTTTCCCCATTTGGACATAAGTACCTAATTTTAGATATATCCTACCAAACTCCAGGCATTCAGCTGAAGCCTAAGTTAGAAGCCTCATCATCAAATTGTCTTTCTACTATAGAAAAAGGAGAACAGCATGTCTCTTTCTTTCTCTCTTTATTTCCTTCTTTCTCCATACACTGGTTTCTGAGGGGTCCTGCAGTGCTTGCCTGGCTACCAGCTGTTGCTTTAGGAGAGATGAAATGAATAGAAGCTCAACTGTTTTACTTTTTGATTTGCTTTCCACAGTAGACTTATCTTTATACATTATATTAAACAGGAATATATTTTATTAGTATATAAATTATATGGAAATCAGTTTTTTTTCTTGAAAAGAAAAAAAAATGAATTTCTGTCAGAGATTGGATTTCAGAGAGTTATCATATCCATTTTCAGTAAAAATGTGCACATTTTGTTCATGAGATAAACTGCAAATTAAATGAAAACTAATTCAATAACTCTACTTACATGGTATGGATATCATGAAGAATTCCAGGTTTCATCCCCTAGTGAATTTTCATCTTAGCACAAAATTATTTTATTTTTCAAACACCAACCCTCTCTACAATTTTTTGAATCTCCCATAATTCTGTGCTCTTGTCACTTTCCAAGAAAAGAAAAACACTGTGGGGTGTCTCTGCTTCCTACGTGAAGCCGTAGTATGTAATTTCATTGCCTTCTCAGTTTAAAGTCTTTCCTACTTTGGCTAAAACAGCTGTCACCTAAGAAAGTATCTGTATTTAAGACCTTATTTTAGATAAATCATAGCATTAACTAGAAGCTATACATATATTAACTGGTATATGACAGAAACAAACTCCTACTACCTTACTTCCCTCCACCCCAGAAATGAGTATTTATATAGATTTCCATATGACCAATTCCAGTGTTTTTATCCCACATGTTATGTTAATTCTCATGCCTCTGTTATTTTCAGGTGTAGACAGATTTCAGCTAGAAATCAGATGAAATCAAAGTAGAGCTACTTGGGTGAAGATTTGTAGTGTAACTGAAAATATCCTCCCCCCCCCCCCTTTTTTTTCTTCTTCTTTTTTTACTTCTTTATTTTCCCCTCTCCCCCAGATTTTTTTTTTAATCCCTCTTCCCCCACTTTTCTTTTCTTTCCTTTTTTTTTTTTTTTAATCACTGTGCATTTTGTTGTTGTTGTTAAATGTTAGACAAGCCTTCTACTAATGCACCTATCACATCAAACGTGCTCTCTGCATGTGAACAATGCTTGAGCTTAAAGGAAAACCTTTTAAAACTGTCAGGAAACCATCGTTCACCAGATGGCTAATCAAATGGAAGACACAGGCACACAGGAACTGTCTCTAAAGGGATTTATTAATAATGGATGTTACTCACTTGTGGTGCAATGGGACAGAGAAAAAGGAGAGGGAAAAAAACTGATACTGAGCATGGAATAACCAAGAATTTTTAAAGCTATCTGTTCCTTTTAAAAAATCTTATTTTTTATTCTAAATGTGCAAAAAGCCTTCACTGATTACTTAAGGGAGAGTTGCTTAGCGCAGCAAGTAATACAGTTACCAAGCTCTGAAGACATGGATTAATAAATAAAATAAAATAAAATAAAATAAAATAAAATAAAATAAAATAAAATAAAATAATTAATATAAATAAAAAGAGAGAGACAAAGAAGCTGTGCTTTAGTGAAGGGAGACACTTTGTTATGAAAAAAAATTAATAAATTCAGGATTATTATCTGGTCATTCCCCTCCAGATGAGCAGATGAGCTCTGCAAAACCTTCCTAATGAAGGCTTCATTGGAAGGAGTGTGTCCTTGTATCTGCCTGGTCCAAATGCTGGGCATTTCTGCAGTGCCTTGTAGAACATACCTTCAAAGCATGGCATAAAGACAAGAAGCTTCTTGCTGGATGCTGGGATCATAGAATCATAGACTGGCTTGGGCTGGAAGGGACCTTAAAGATCATCTAAATCCAATGCCCCTGCCATGGACAGGGATGCCACCCACTAGATCAGGTTAGCCAAGGCCCCATCCAGCCTGGCATTGAACACCTCCAGGGATGGGGCATCCACAGCTTCTCTGGGTAAACTCTGCCAGTACCTTACTACCCTTATCATGAAGAATTTCTTCCTAATGTCTAATCTAAATCTATCCTCTTTCAGTTTAAGACCATTCCCTCTAGTCCTATCATTATCTACTCAAGGAAATAGTCCTTCTCCATCCTTTTTATAAGCCTCCTTTAAGTATTGAAAGTCCACAATGAAGTATTGAAGGCTCCCCAGAGCCTTCTCTTCTCCAGGCTGAACATCTGTAGCTCTCTTAGACTTTCTTCATAGGAAAGGTGCTCTAACCATCTCCTCATCTTTGTGTCCGTCCTCTGGACTTGCTCTAACAGATCCATATCCTTCTTGTTCTGGGGTCCCCAAACCTGGATGCAGTACTCCATGTGGGGCTTCAGGAGGGCAGAGAAGAGGGGTACAATCACCTCCGTCCACCTGCTGGCTACTACTCTGTTTATGCAGCTCAACATGCAGTTGGCCTTTTGGGCTGTGAGCATGCACTGCTGGCTCACATTGAGCCTTTCATCCACCAGAACTCCCAAATCCTTCTCCTGAAGGACAGCTCTCAATGAGTTCTTCTCCCAGCCTGTGCTCCTGTCTGGGATTGCCCCGACCCAGGTGCAGCACCTCACACTTGAACTTGTTGAACCTCATTTGGATGGGCCCACTTCTGCATCAGAAGTCTCCATTGCTGTGAAGTCCCATTGAACCCACTCTAAGTTGAAGCACAACAAAGGCTCCTGGAAAACAGAGAAGAGTAATAACCCTCAAAATATACTTGGGTAACCTAAAGCATTGGCTGAGGTGCTGTGGTAGTCTCAGCTGCAAGTGTTAGTCTGGGCTGCCATCAGATGCCTAATTTTTCCCTCCCTGGATATGACCAGCCCCTTAACAGATACCATATGGGAATCCATGCTTGCATTTCTGTTGCCAGTGTGTCATATTATGGTTTATATCATATTGTGGTTTAACCTGGCCATCAGCTAAACAACACACAGCCGTTTGCTCACCCTCCCCCATCCCCCTCTGGGAAAAGTGAAGCCTGTGAGTTGAGCTAAAGACAGTTTATTAAAGCAGGAAAATAATAATAACAATAATTATGGTAATAGTACTACTACTAATAATGTGTACAAAACAAGTGATGCACAATGCACTTGCTCATCACCCACTGACCGATGCCCAGCCTAACCCCGAGCAGTCCGGACCCCTCACCCCGGCTAGCCACCCCTATATATTGTTTAGTCATCCATACCATCGGATGGTATGGAATACCCCTTTGGCTAGTTTGGGTCAGCTGTCCTAGGTCTGTCCCCTCCCAGCTCTTGCTGCACCCCCAGCCTGCCCGTTGGCAGGACAGAGTGAGAAGCTGAGACGTCCTTGGCTTGGTGTAAGCACTGCTCTGCAACAACTAAAACATCGGGGTGTTATCAGCACTCTTCTCATCCTAAGCCAAAACACAGCATTCCACCAGCTACTAGGAAGAAAATTAACTCTGTCCTAACTGAAACCAGGACATACCATTAAAAATTTGCTTTAGTGCTTACCTGCCATACTCTACATTAGATTGCTTTCTCCTCTATAAACTTGGTAAACTGGTTCATAGGCAGAGAAATCAGCCATCATATTATACAGTTTAGGAAGTGTGAAAAGCACATAAACAATTTTGTGGCAGGAGAGGAGATAGATCTGTTTGGGCATACTGTAAAGTTTGTATGTGTAGCATTTTATAAGTGGAAGACATGAAACCCTATTTCTGATAACTTTAATCTAGCTGTCTCAAATACCAAGAGTGGCAATGTTAGAGTAAATAGAACTGTGTTAGTTCAGCAGGGAACCTGATAATTATTTGGATTTCTAACTTGCATGCTGCATTTGCCCTGCTAATACTACTTTTTGTAGCTGTGACCTTCACACATGTCAGTCACACTTCTTGATAGCCTCAGAGATGGACTCTTCACCACAGGCTTTCTTTCCTCACTTAACGTTAGAGGCTGAGATTCACCATGAAGTTTGTTTCTGACTTTTAACTGAGCCTGGAGCAGTCCTGGCTTGTTTTATATTTTCTTTTTATTTGACACAAGCATGGCTTTATCTTCAGTAAAACCTTGGCTCAAGTGGCTGTGTTTTTGATGCCA